TCCTTTTAATAAGATGATACTGTGCAGCAGTCCTTCTGCATGAAATAACTACCATCATCATGACTTCAGCAGTGCCTGATTGCTGAACATCGTCACAATTGGGCCTGTTGTCAGTTGCGCTCCTTCATTAAAGGAGGGGCAAGCAAGATCATTGGACCCTCACCAGAGTATCCAGCCACTCTTCCCAGCCAACTGTGTGTAATTTGGCCCTAATACACATGGTCTCCTGGATTTGGGGAGGGCTAAAGTATACAATCTGGAGCAGGCTAAGAAGAGAAGGCTTGGCCCATTCTGGGTAAAGGCTTTCCAGTGTGCATACCCTCAGGTCTTTCATACACCTCAGCAACCCCTCAGTTATCTCGGCAAGTAAGCTCAGACAATTCATTGGTTCCCTAGTAAAACTTTAATCAAACATTGGTTTGACACTAGACCCTTAAAAGGGAATAAGCATTGCTTAGTATCCCCAGGAAAAGAATTCTCACAACAGATGGAAAATTTATTTGGTAATGCTGTTAATTTTCATAATTGTTTAAAAAAAAGGAAATGAGAATGTAAAAGATGTTAAAAGGATATGGAATAGAGATATTTTCCAAAATAGAAAAAATGAGAAAGCCTAAGCAAGTGATGAAGGTCTGTGTAGGTTTTTAATGATATATAAAGAATGAGACAAAAATATATACATAATCTTAACATTTCTAAGGTCATAGTTTAGTCAACTAGTTTAAGGAACCAAATTTGTATCTAGTCAAGGTTTATCTGAGAACATTTTGTTTTCTACCCAAGCTTTATTTACATAGCACATGGTAATTTAAAGTACCAGAGTGGAGGAACAAACCTTATTGGATGTTTAACAGCCATACTTTGAGGCCTACACTAATATGGTCAGAGGGACTTAAAGGACAGTTTTTGCCCTTTGCCCTCCAAGGTGGACTAAGTTCCAGGGGATGATGGAACAACTCTCAAAATGTCCTGTAACTGTGGTGAGTCACCCGTCTTCTTGTTCAGAGAGACCATGGAGATCCCACCAGATGGACTTGAACCAGTGTCCAGTCTCTAAGGGGAGGGTCAAATCAGAGGAAACATTTCCTCCATGCTTCCAAGTGAAGCCAGCTATGGTCCAGCAGGACATTTGACTTATCTTCACATAGGTGGAACTGGTAAAAGAAAGGAGCCAAGGTCTCCTCCCAAGCCCATGTGAACCCTGAGGAACAGCTCCTCAAATGACCTTAAGTGTAATAATAAATTGACTTATTTGGGCTAACTGTGTGGTCTTAAACATCCCAAAGGAAAATGTAACCAAAGAATAAAGTAATCAGTATATTTCTTTAAGAGTTCAAGGGATTACACTTCTCAGACATTAGGCTTAAGTCCATATAAAAAGTTATTTAGACAGTTATCTTTCATTGATGATTTTTCTGTGAATCAGAAAGTGCTGCTCAGATGTAAGACTTCAAATCTTTCTCTGCAACACTGTAGTGCCCACCTGTAGCTAAGGGAAACAACCCGCTATTGTTCTATAATGATGGATAAATTCGTTTTCTCCCCCTATCTAGAAGCCTTTAAGAGGAAACTGACACTAATTCTAACCATTCCAACAGCTATAAAAATGCCTGAAAGCAAATCCTGAATCCATCACTCTCGAGTCCATCTGCCTTGGCAGATGTCCTAGTTTGTGTCTCAATTGCTGTGACAAAATACTCTGGCCATTACCAACTTGGAGAGGAAAGGGTTTATTTGCCTTACATCTCCCAGGTCACAGTTCATCAGGGAGCCCTAGGTAGGAACTCAGGGCAGGAACCTGGAGGCTGGGGCTGGAGCACAGGCCATGGAGGAATGCTGCTTACTGGCTTGCTCCCCTAGCCCCTGCTCAGCCTGCTTTCTTATGCAACACAGGCCCACCTGCCCAGGGGTGGCACCACCCACAGTGGGCTGGGCACTCCCACATCACTCAACAATCAAGAAGATGCCCCACAGACATGGCCACAGGCCAGTCCTATGGAGGCAATTCCCTAATTGAGGCTCTCTCAACCCAGGTGTGTCAAGTTGACACTAAAGCTATCCAACACAATTGACCCCTTGTCAACTTGACACACAAACACATAACTATTAAATCATAACCTTTCCAATTCTTATCCACAAGATATGTTGTTAACATTAATATCACAACATAAGACAGTAGAACCTTAAAAACCCCACAGTCCTTAAAAAATCCAAACACTTAAAAGTCCATAGTCTCTTTTAAAAGTCTCTTAACTGTGGACGTCTGTAAAATCCAAAACAAGTACTGTCTTATTTCAAAGGAAAGAATCGGGCACACCTAAGCAAAACCAAAGTCTAGCAAAGTAGCTCAAGGCTGGACATCTGGAATTCACTCATGAGTTTCTGGGCTTCAAGGAGTTTGGCAGCTCCACTTCTCTGACTCTGCCATCCACAGCACACACAGCTCGTTTTGCAGACCCAGGTCAACTCCATTCCACACCTGCTGCTGCCCTTGGTGATCATCCCATGGTCCTGGCATCTCCAAAAAGCTGGGGTCTCCACTGAAACTGAGGCTGCGCCCTCACCCACAGCCTCTTCTGGCCTCTTGGACTGCAACATTTCAGAATCTCTCCATGACCCCTTCAATCCTGGGGTCTTCACTGCAACTGAGGTTGCACTTTCACCAATGGCTTTTCCTGGCCTCTCAGAGTGCCAAGTCTCAGCTGCTCTCTATGACCCCCTTTCACATTTTCAACACCAGAACCATGTAGGAGACTCTTACACATTACCAAACCCTGCTTCCATCTTGAGATGGAGGCTCAGGTTCCCTCTGTGTGCTGACCCTGAGGAAATACCTCCCAGAAGACTTCACCACAGTGATGCTGGTCTCTTGTTACTTACAGCTGATTTTTCAGCCCCAGCTAACCAGCATCAATTGTCCCAGTAAAGCAAAAGTTTTACTTAAGGTTCTGGTCTCTTCTTAATCACAGCTGATTCTTCAGCTACAGCCAACCAGAACCCACAAATTCTCAATTCAAAATATCACACAAACAGCCCTGATAGTCTCTACTTCCCTTAGAAGCTTCACAAGCCAGGCCTCCATTATTCACAAGTCTTTCAGCATAACTGCTCCAAGCCTCACAGCAACAAACTCTAAGCAGTCAAACGCTTTTCCAGCCCAAAATTCCAAACACTTCCATGTCCTCCAACATCAGGTCTTTCACAGCAGTGCCCCACTCTCTGGTACCAATTTCTGACCTAGTTTCTGTCTCAATTGCTTTGACAAAATACTTGGACCAGTACCAACTTGGGGAGGAAAGGGTTTATTTGTCTTACATCTCCTAGGTCACAGTTCATCAGGGAGCCCTAGGTGGGAACTCAGGGCAGGAACCTGGAGGCAGGGGCTGGAGCACAAGCCATGGAGGAATGGTACTTACTGGCTTACTCCTCTAACCCCTGCTCAGCCTACTTTCTTATGCAGCACAGGCCCACCTGCCCAGGGGTGGCACCACCCACAGTGGGCTGGGCCCTCCCACATCACTCAGCAATCAAGAAAATGCCCCCACAGACATGGCCACAGGCCAGTCCTATGGAGGCGATTCCCTAATTGAGGCTCCCTCAACCCCGGTGTGTCAAGTTGACATTAAAGCCATGCAGCACAGCAGACAAAAGAAAAATGAGGAGGAACCCAACAGAGGGATGCTTTTAGAAGCTCTCATCAAATGTTCCAACTCTCGTATGAACATTTGAAATTTGCCCTGGTCTGACTTTTTTCTAGTTCCCTGTCTGGAACTTGTAATGTTAATTACTCTTGCCTTTACTTCTCCTTCACATCTCCTATTCAACAGTCAAGGACTTTCTTTTCCCCCTACAGATAAGAGTTATGCAATTTGGGAGTCTTTTAGATAGACCCACTGGAGGGATACCCCAATTGCCTCACCCTGCATCCTGTTCAGCATGGAAAAAGCTAGAGTGGTCTGCATCCCAATTCCCTATTCTCAAGCTGGGTAACCTTTTCAGAGGATGATGTGATAAGAATAGGAGATAGGAATTGGTTAGGCAGTTAGGGTAAAAAGACCCCAAAGAAAAGTAGCCAGCTTCTTAGCTAAAAGTCAAAATGTCCTTGGGCCTCTTAGCAACATACTCTGTTCCAAAGGTCAAAAAT